CAGAAACAGCAGCTCTACAGCTTTCCAACACTGAGCACCACTTTGGGTCCATCAGCTCCAATTTTTTAAGTCAAACCTTTTTGTCACAGGCAAGGTGATGCTGCAGAAGATGAAGATGAAGATCCCTACAGGACTGTGAAGAACAGCTCCTTTCCTGAGGTCATTCCTGAACAGGGTTTTTTACATGATTGTTGTGCCTGATGAGCTTCATGAATTAAGGAAGCTCCAACACCTCAGCATTCAGGCTAAAATTGCTGATATGAGACCATCCCTGAACCATTCCTGAGAGGAATCACAGCCCAGGAGGAACCTGAGCCCCTCCAGGTCCTGCCCTCACTGTGCCAGGCTTGCACAAGCAGGAATTAGTTCAATCTCACAATTAAAAAAAAATACTAAATCCACCTTACACATAAAAAAAATCAGAAATATTATATTATACTATATTATATTCTATTATATTATACTATATTCTACTATACTATACTATATTATACTATATTACATTACATTACATTATATTATATTATATTATACTATATTTCTACTATATTTCTATTATATTTCTTTACATTTGTTTAGCTTGTTGATAGAATAATTCTCAATTGGTTTGTAAGCTGTAGGATGAAATCCTGGTGATGAATGAAAATATGAAGAGAGACTGAAATAAGTGGTTTGAATTTTAATGAAAATATTAAGAGAGACTAAAAAAGGGGTTTGAATTTTATAAGAAGACATTTGTCTTTTTAAAATCTTGATGGAAAATAAATGCTACTGAGAGATCACTGTATTAGAAAGGAAATCCTCCATGAAGGAATGCAGGTTATGTTGTAATTCACAGGTTTTTCTCAACCAGCTGAATATTTAATACTAAAGCTAAAAATAAAAATAAAAAAAAAATTAAATAGGAAGCAAATTCTTCTAATCCTGAGATCAAAATTCACAAAGCTGTCCCTGAGTATGGAAGCACAGTAAAGCACATGTCTCTGTCCTGAGGTAGTATAAAATGCTGATATCCATATCCACTGAACCTGAACTATGATTTTAATCTGCTTTTCCAATCTGCATTACATTTCACATTAATAAAAAAAGTGATTTAAAGTCTAATTCCCTGAATGGGGAATTGGGAATGAGCCCAGGGCAGGGGGGCAAGAGCAGGGCCAGTTCTGAGGGACCCCCAGTGCCCCAACACTGCCTTTGTCCAGCTCAGGGACTGTTCTGAACTATTCTGGAAATTATATTTCTATATAATTACAGAAATATGTCCTTATTTCTATATTTCACTACAGCAAAGGTGACCAAGTGATCATTCAGCCTTGAGAAACCTTTATTGGACTGAAATTCCACAGCAGCCCTTTCCAGCTGGGCAGGGAGAGGGGATGAATGAAATCAAACCATGGAAATTCAGAGTAAATAATTGATGTGAATCACATTGGTATTATGAATATTCTGCTACCCCCCAGTATCCAGAAGCTGTTTCTGAGGGCTGAGCACCACAGGCATTTCTTCCCTGACAATCTCCACACCCCAAGGTCCTGTTAGAGCACAGAGGGCAGAAAACTGCTGCTCCAATTAAAACTGGCCATGGAATCTGAATAATCTTCAGGAAAACAACAGACTGCACATTTGCACACATTTTTACAGAAAATAAAAGCATTCCACACCTTCTCCCCCCTTAACAGCACTTTCCAAGAAAACTGCTCTTGGACTCAAAGCTGGATGTTGTAAAGCCAAAATTCTCAAGGATTTAGTTTAAAACCAAGCAGGATTTGTTTCTTCACTTGCTGACTTTTAAAACGATGCAGAATGAATTCTCCCATCGCATTTACAACACAAAAATTAAACATTTGTGTTTTTCTTCCATCCAGGAAGTGAAAAAGGAGTCAGAAGCACCCCAACACTCAGCTCTGAATGATTCCCCCTCAGCCCACAGGAATCCTGGCTCAGGGATTCCTCACACCCTTTCTGAGAACAAAACCAATTTCCCCACAGGGTTTTCCACATTTATGCTCAAATGGTTGGAGAAAAGATGGAACACATTTCCCCTGATTCCTGCCCACAATTCCCTCCAGAAAGGGGCAGTTCTAAAAGTTTCATTTTCAAACCTCCTTGTCCCCATGTTCTGAGGACTCTGCTCTCCCCTTGCACTCTCAAACAATGTAAAAGCACAAAAATTGGTATTTTTACCCAGCCCTCATCTTACAGCATCTTAAAGAGAATTCTTATCTCTAAATGCTGTGTAATTACTTGATGTTACAATAAAATGTGTTCCTATCAACCCAATTTTTAATCAACCTAAGAAAAATGCTGTGTGTTGTTAAATTAATTGTTAAGGAGATTAATAACCCAGCTGAATGATGCAGTTGTGCTAAAATCACACTGAAATAAGGAATAGTAACTGAGTTCATGGCTGAGGAACCTTGCACAGATGAATTTACTTGATTATTTACAGCCTTTTCAGCCATCAAACAACAAGGAATTAGAAATTTGCACATTGCATGTACTGAGATGCACACATTCAAAAGGACAAAATACCATCTGCTAAAACCATGAGATAACACAAAAATAAGTCCAGTCCCCAGATTTGCTCTATTTACAGGCAGGAAATGGTCAAAAGCTCATATTCAACTTGACTTGCACAAACCTTACACTGATGATGGCATTAATATAAACTTAATACATAAATCTGAGTGATGGAGCAAGTTTTGAGTTGATAAACACAATCACTACTTGATTTCTTTTGTAATAAAAAACTAGAAACCTTCAAAATATAATTGCTGCATTGGATTGATCAATGTTTCAAGTTAACAGGTTCAGGTGACTCCTAAGTTTTTGGGTTATTTTTACATTTTTTAAAATAAGAAGCAGCATCAGTGAATGATGCTGCATTGGCTCTGTGGAGGTACAAATGCACAAAGCATTAGTTAAGAATGCAAAAAAAGATAAATACTATTAATTATATAATATAATGCCCAGACACTGCACAGTGACCAAACCACAGAATTTTAACCAGTTCATGAACCAGAGGCCACTCCCTGATGTGCTCCAAATGCCAAGAAGCAGAGAATTCCACAACAGCCAAAGGATGAATGAGTCTTTAGTAGCCCAGAGACTATAAATGAAATATATACCCACAGCCTAATCTTAAATATAGAGTGACTTGGAGAAAAAGAATAAAATAATGGAGAATAAAATAAAGAATAAAGTTTATTCTTACCTAAGTGCAACTCTTATCTCTACTAAAGTTAAACAGGGAACTAAAACCCAAAATGTGCTGGCAAAGGGAATTATGGATAAAGATAATTCTTACCTCCAGTGCCACCTCTCACAAACTGAGCTTCTGCTGGGGCTCACCAGCACCCACTCAGATGCTAACTTGAATTTTCCCCAATTTCATGCAGTAAAACTTCTATTCATTCAAAATGGGGGAAAATGTGTCTTTGTCATTCAAAATGGGGGAAAATGTGTCTTTGTCATTCAAAATGGGGGAAAATGTGTCTTTGTTCTGACTTAAAATTTGGGTCTTTTAATGAGCATCTTCCTCTCCCACTGTCAATGACACTGAGGGGAAACTCCTCACCCAGCAAAGTTGGGTCTTTAATGATTATTTTTCTTTCAGAGTGTCCATTACATTGAGAGGAAACTCCTCACCCAGCTCATTAAGGGGTTTTTTAATTAATTATGGGTTTTTATTGTGTTTCCTGCACTCCACCTCCACTCCAAGCAGCCACCACAAACCTGCAGCACATTTCAACACACCCAGCAGTTGTTTTGTTTTCACAGCACAGAACTCCTGCTGGTGGCCACCACTCACCTTTGGCAGCATGGGGGTGTCCCTCTTCTTCTTCTTCTCTGAGTTGGGGTCATCCAGCAGGTCTGGCTCAAAGGTGTAGAGCTCGGTGAGCTCGTTCATGGTGAAGTGTCTCTCCACCTGCTGCTGGTCCACCACCCTGAAGGACAGCGACTGCTTGGTCACCTGCCGGTCGTAGATCTTGTCCTCCATGGTTCCCTGGACACAAACACCCACTGTCACCCCCAGCAACGCTCACAGGTGTGAAAAAACCCCAAATAATCACCCAGCAGCTCTCCCTGCCTTGTTTCTGTGCTTCTGCTGCTTTCAAGCTGTTTGTTTGCTGGGCAATAAATGGAAAAAAAAAGCTTTTTTGTGCATGGGATAGGTGTCATCTAGCTGGTGACTAGAGGAAGAAAATTGGTCTTTTAGTGGTGTTTTTAAGAGATCCAGTTTTGTTTCATTACTCCAAAGTAGGATTTTGACCCAAAAATGGCAATTTTCACAGCATGTACCTTATTTTGCCTGTGAAAAGGAAAACAGATCCCATATCACTGTGGTGGAGGGGAGAGGGCAAGGGAGGCAGTCAAGTCTAATTCACCACAGCTGTGTACAAAAAAAAAAATCAGATCTTTGATGAAAAAAGGAAAATCACTTATTTTTTGAAAAAAAAAAAGATGACTGAGAAGGACGAGAACAGCACAGCCTGTTCTGAACAGCATAATTTAAAAAGGATATCAACAGTTCAAAAGTGCACAGAGAAAACTACAAAAATAAACTGAAGCCTGAAGAAAAACCCCATTTGTGACAGTAACATGTCCCAGACAAGGATCTGCTTCAGCTGGGATGGAAAGAGTGACTGGATCAAGGGCTGAGTGCTCCTGGGAAAGGGCTCCAGGCTCCTCTGTCACACCTGGGGACGCAGAGGCTGAAGAGGCCCTTCCCAACAGGAACCATGGCCCTGCCTAAAGCACAGATCAGTGTCCAGCTGAGTCATTTTATATATTTATAATTATATATTTTATGTATTTATATATTTTATAAATTTATATATTTTTATGTATTTTTTATATCACACATCTTTAACATCTGCAGGATGTGATATGAGTTTTCAAGTAAGACTGGAGATGCATTTTTATAAAAATTCACTTGTATCCATGTGGTTTCAGTGCAGTTGGACCATCAGGGTGTGCAGAAGGAGCTGCCCTGGGCAGGGCTATTCCCTAACACCACCCCCATCCTCTGCAGGCACTGCTCCAGTCAGAGTTTTTAGTGGAGTGCAAATTAAAAAGGCTGAGACTCCTGTTCTGAGGCTGGTCTGGACACGTGAATCACTGCTGGAATTCCAGAATTTGGGTTAATGAAGTGTCAGACAAGGGAGACCTCAAGAGTATTGAATGTAGGGAGCTCCTGATGCAGGGAATTATTGCCATTTGACTCTGTGCTTTAGGATGCTGAACAATTGCTTTATTAAAATTGTATTACATTATACTATATTAAAGAGATACTGAAGGAATGCTACTGAAAATCCCATGAGTGTCTCTGCCTGACACCACAGCTTGGACCTGATAGGCCAATTAACATAAACAACCATCACTAGAACTGAATTAAGAACTTTCTCCAGGTAAATAATTTCCCTAACACATTCCACATGTGCAAAACAACAAGGGCAGAGAATAGAGATAAGAATTGTTTTCTCTTTCTCTGAGGTTCCTCACTGTGATTCTCAGGAAATATCCTTAGGAAGCTGCACCTGCTGCTCTCTTTGGGGAGAGCTGTGGCTGCATCACAGGGAATAATGTCATTTATTTTACCACTCCTTCCTTCCTGAGCTGCTTCAGTGGCCAAACCCTGCTGCAGATCAGAGCTGGAATGTGCCTGGATCAGCCTGGGTCACTACAGAGCCCAACAGAGCCCAAACCATCACAGTGCCCACAGCCCCAGCTCCCCAATTTCACTGCAGGGTCAAAGTGCAGCAGAAAAGTACCTGAGCCAAAAACCTGTAGACAAAGACAGGCTTGTTCTGCCCGAAGCGATACACCCTGAAGATGCTCTGGATGTCATAGGAGGGGTTCCAGGAGGCATCAAAGATGATGACTCTGTTGGCAGCCACCAGGTTTATTCCCAGGGACCCTGCTTTGGTGGATATGATAAACAAGCGGCCTCTGGAACAGAGAAAAGTTGCAAATTTTCATATTTTGGAAAATAACTGGAGTTCATAAACTGAAATAACTCTAAAGCTTCATTAAAATAATGCATTAAGCATGAAACAGATGCAGATTTTACAAGAGCAACACTTTTAGCAGAACATACACTCCCAACAATACACATCAAGGCCTTCTGCAAATGAGCTATTAAGAAAAACTGGTGGGGAAGAAAAAACTGCATTTTCAAGCTCTAATGAAATTAGTTATATCAAATTAAACCCTAATTTTAAACAGGCAGATTCCATGCCATAGAAACTCTTTCCTGGCCTGCAGACTTTCAGGGTAGCTCTCCAATGACACTGTCTCTTTGACATATCTGGGTTTTTTGAGATTCAGAAAAATCTCACTCTGGTTCACCTTGGAACCAGCTCCTGACAGACACCTGACAGAATAAACTATTTAAAAGTATTAACACTGGATTAGTTCACTTCTTAATTTAACTTTTTCCCCCTGCACATTATAAATGACTGCACAATAATTACATACTTTATTTTTTAAACACATCTAGGAAGGTGCAGCTCCTTAACTTCATTCAAATACAAGCCTGTACCTCTCCATCTAAATCAGACTTGAAAGTCCCATTTTGGAGGGCTGGGAGCCAATTCTGGAGGCAGCTGAAAGAATTCATTTGCTCCTGAGTGGCCCAGGGACTGCACAGCCTTCCTAGGTCCTTGTATCCTTTAATGCTTGCAATAAAAACACTGTCTCTGGTTTAAATTGGTTACAATCTAAAAATTGTACAATTGGACAATGAAAACAGCAAGGAAAACCTGAAGTCAGTGACACATTCCTGCAGGTTTTCTGGGTGAGCTCTGATCACCATTTGCCTGGTCCTGAGGTCATTAAGCTGCTAAAAGTAATAATAACTAGGGAACAAAAGAAAGAAAAAGGGGAAAACAAAGCACATCTATCTCAGGAGAGATCTCACCTCACATTAGTTTCATCATTGAACTCCTCAGCCCATTTCTTTCTGGACTGAGCTGTGGTGGAGCCATCCAAACGATAATAATCAATATTTCTGAACCATTTTCCTTCACCTGCAAATGCAACAGCCAAGTTATGAAAATGCTGATGGTGTAAATAACCAGACTGGTAACCAACTGGAATTTAAAGAGAGAAATTTATAATAAAAAATAGTTCTGAGGTTAAATTTAATTATTTGAAAAAATCTGATTTTTTTTTTTTGGTGGGGGGAAGTCCTCTTATTTTTCACACTTTCTGTATTTATTTGAATTTGCAGAGCTATGCCTTAACTTGGAGCCAAAGTTAATTTTAGAAGTCCCAAAGATGCTGTTACATCTCATCTTTAGGTGCTGTAATTGCACTTTTCCAATGGATCCAGGCAGGTTCACATTCCAGCACCAGTGTCAGCCTCCTACACAACCAGCACTGAGAAGTCAATGCTCCAAAGGAGATTTCTAAGGTCAAACTCATTTTGGAACTGAAATCCAGCAAAATCTTTGGGTTTAATTGCCCTGTGAGTTACAGCAGCTTCTTGTCAGACTGGGGGAAAAAAATAACTGCAGGTGATGGAGGATTTTCTTCTCTCAGTAATTTTCTATTTTCTCTGGCCATCAAGGTATTTGTACAAAATTGATATCCCTGAGCCACCAATGATAAATAAAATAATGGTTTTGGGAGCAGCACTGCTCAATTAAACCCATTGAGAGAGGCAGATTGGTCAGTTCTGTCAGGAAAACTGAACTTTGCCATGATTTAATTTTGCTGGCCAGAGCTACCACACATGGAAAGCCCCAACCTCTTTAAAACTTCAGAATAAAGGCACAGCTCCTGACAAAGACACCCTGTAATGTGTGAGGTGACAAAATTCAGAATAGGAAGCAACAGGCAGGAACAATAAATCAGTGAGAGACACATCCTGGGGACCTGCAGCCACCATCACTGAGCCACTTCTCCCTTATCTCAAGTGCAAATTCAGGCAAGAGCTGGTGACAGACTGGGAAGGAAAGGCAGACTTGAAGGAATTCTTCAATCCACATGTCCTGGGAATGAAACTCTGGGCAAGGAGGAACAGCACCCTCAAGAGCCCTGGGAACATCTCAGTGAGGCATTTCATGCCATTTGAGCATCACTAGGGTAATAATTAATTCAATATTTGCTCCCTATGAAACCCATAAGCCTAAATTCACATTTTCCACACTGCTTGAAAGCAGCCTCATTTCCCTTCACTCTCTCTCTGCCAGGAGGAAGGATCAGGATTTGCCACACACCAGAATTTAACATTATTTTTGGTGCAGAATTTAACAAAATGCCTTCTCTCAGATGTGAACATTAAATCTGCTTAGCCTGGATGACAGAGAGTGAAATCAGAGAGTTCCCAATGGGAGCCCAACACCCCTGGCAGCCCAGAGCATGCAACATCCTCATGGAAACAGGGATTATTTCAAACACCCCATGGGCACTGCACAGAGCCTTGGGAAAGGGCTCTGAGCACTGCAGCTGCTGGAGGCACTCACCTTTATAGATGGGAGGCTGATCTCTGTCAGATTTCTCCCTGTTAGCCAGCTCCAGGAAATCTTCTATCAAATCCAGAGATATCAGGGACTGGCTGAACACTAGGCTGAAAAAAGCAACAGGGAAACACAGAATTCATCTCTGGAGTTGTTTTAATTATGGCACTGCTTCAGTTTTGTTCCCTCCTCCCTCTGATAGGAACTTTGAGACAAACAGAGCAAGATTTCAGTGGGGCACGTGCAGGTGAGGGAAGATCTCTGACAAAAATGAGTGTACCATGCTTGGCTGCTTCAGAAACAGCAGAATGAAGAGTGGATGGATGGAGAACACTGTCAGACTAATATAATATATATATATTATTATATATATAATATACTACATATATATTATATTATTGTATATTACTATATAAAATAGTATTATATTATTATATATTACTATATAAAATATATTTTTATATATTTTATATATATTATATATAATATATAATATTATGTATTACTATATATATCACATATTCATTGATATTATTTATATACATTTTAATATATATTTACATAATTTTATATATTTTTAAATATATGTATGTATATATGATACATACATACATATATTTAAATATATATATATATATATATATAATATATTCTGAGGTCTTCAGTGCCATGTGCAGAGCTTACACTTTGTCTCCCAGCTCCTCTGCCATCCGGAGAATTTCAAAGAGCAGCACCATTTTCCCAGAATGCTCCAACACCTCAGCATCTGCATCAGTGACAAAATCTTTGTACCAGTCTGGAGCTGGGCTACCAGGATTGGAAGAGGATGTAGCTTTGCCTATTAAAAAAAAAAAAAAAAAAACAAAGAAAAAGAAATAAACATGAGAACATGGTGTTCATTTAAATGCTCTGAGTTGTTCCCTCATTATCAGACTTAACTGGCATGAAAAGAGTTAAAGAGACAAAGAAAAAACAGCATTTGCACTAGAAGCCATTACAAGAGGTAAATATTTAAGGGATGCAGAGACAGAAGCTCAGGCTGCCTATAGTGTAATTCCTTTAACACATTTAATCTCTGGGTGTCAATGTTTTACACACAACACCCTCCACCCTTACACATTTACAAGATGTTGTCACTGGGATGGAGGCAAAAAAAAATTCTCACCTGAACTCTCCCAAAATTTTAAATTACTTAGGGAAAGAGATTAGACCCACATGAAATAACATAAAATTATCTCTGTGATACCAGATACAAGACAAAAGCTAAATTATTACAGTAAAACCCCCCAAAATTAAGTGTGCAGCTGTAAAAAGTTTGAATAACAACTTTAAAGAGGTCTTGTGTTCCTGCTTCACTGGATCTGCTTGCTCAGCATTCAATTCAAATTCCAAATGCAACAAATTATGACAGATATATTTCCTAATCTTTACATTAATCTTCCAGGTTATATAATTTTGTACTTCTAAATTTAAAATTTTCACTGTGCAGCTTCCCTGCCTCAACCCCCCTGAGTTCTAAGCTGATGGCCCTTTGTTTTTCCAGGATAAATGCATAATTAGAAGTAGCAGGAACTGTAACTGGGAATTAAGGAATCAGCCCTCTCAAATTGCCTTTTGCAAAACGGAGCTGCCTCACATTTTCAGCACTCTGTGTTATCCTCACCTTCATCTGACTTTGTTGATGCTGGGTTGTTTGTAAGATCTTCTACATTTCCTTCCCCACCTCCACGAGATCTTGAATTCCAGACTTTAATGACTTCAACATCGTTATCACTGCCACTTCCACTCGAGCTACACTCCTTTGTCACCTTTTTCCCCTTGGATTTTTTTTTCCTAAAAAGCAACAGTAAACACCTCAGGTTTTTTTTTTAATCCCACTAAAAGAAAACACATTCTAACAGACACATAAAATACAAAATGAACATTCATTTTATAGAAATCACTTCAGTTCTATAAGGGAAAGAACACCAATAAACTAAATAAAAGTTCAATTACTTTGTATAATCATCAGAACTTAAGCTCATGGAAGTTTCATCTGAATCTGAGGCTATGAAGTCATCCATGCTGTCTTCATCAAAATAGCCCTCAAAAGAGAAAAAACAGAAATTATTAAAATGTTCACCCAGAAGCTTTTATTAAACCTTTAGCCATCTGCTCACTCTTCATTTAAACAATGGTAAATTCTACAAAGGCCTGGCCTTGCAAATGTTTTAAGAATGACACCATACCCAGCAAGAAAAATATGACAAAACCAGCAGCAAAATGACCCCACAGCAACAAAGATTTCCATTAATTTGACGAAACTTTACCTAGAGTTTGGCACAGCTTGTTTGGAAAGTTCTCAAGTGAGAGTATTTTGATATATCTAATTTACCTTATTTTCTTTGCTAATATAGTCCAGCTGCAAACACCAAGGGTGAGTCCATATTCTGCTCAACATCTGGAAATCCTGGAATAGTTTAGCTCCAGCTTTGCCTCTTCCACCTTCATTGCCACCACCTACACCTGACAATAAAGTTCAGGTTTTAGAGTGAGCCCTGAAGTGAGTTTGCCCTTTGAAGAGCCCAGCAGAGCACATCTGAGTGTTCCTTCCAGCTGCACATCATACTGCAACATCTCTTGTAAAAGGGCTCAAATTACTCACTCACAGCCATTTTTTCTCCCAGTTAAAGTTGTCAAAATTAGATTTTCTCCTTTTTCTTGATAATGAGAAACATGATTATATTTTTTACATAAAAGCACGTTGCTCCCCAGTACAGGAACGTACACAAATCCTCTTAAAAAGACAGACTTGTCTATTTAGGTTTTGTAAAAGAAGTCAAAGGTGGAAAACACTAAATAACATTTGCATTTAGGTCTCAATGAATCTAATCTGAGCTGCCTTTAATGACCTGTAACGCTGCAGTATTCCACTACAAAAAAACCTTATTTTTTTTTGTTGCCCAAGCACTTTAGTGCACAGAACAAAGCTCACAAAGTTGATTTTCACCTAGCAACTGTGCTAGGTGAAATTATTAAATGATGATGCACATACCTGTCAGATGATCCAGGTAATACTGGTAGAGCTTGCACTGGATGGGGGTCATCCTCACCTCCAGCACGTACTCGTACTTGGGGGGCAGGAACTTGGTTAAGGCTGTGTAATCCTTCCTCTGCAAGGTCACAGACACTGCTTCAGTCACAGGAACAAGGCAATGACTCCTGAGAGCCTCAGCAGCACTTGGGGCATCCCAAAGGACAGAGCACTGTGGGATCAGGGGTGCTGATCCCGCTGCTTTCAGCCCCACAGGGGGAAAATCAGCCCAGAAATACAATTTATTAAAGGCCTGCAGGAAGAACCCACCTGCCCCACTCAGGAGCTTCTCAGGCCAAAGTCTGTGACCTGCTAAGCCCATGCCCAGTTCCAAGTCCCTGCAAAGTTCACTGAAACTCCAGGAGCTGCTCTGGGAACTACTTTGGGGTTTTTTTTTAAGATTACTAAAACCAAATTTTACTTCTATTTGGGTTTTTTTTTTGACTCTGACACTACTCTGTCTCTCCACTCTCTATGGACAGCATCTGCTCTGCACAGGGCTGGAGAAAATCCATGTGGGCTCCACCCAAAGCTTGTTTTATCTAAGGTCTATAAAA